AGGAACTAGTGAAATACTTAGGTATATAGGCCAGGGAACTTAGCTGGAACCTGTTTGCCAAGCCCACCACTTAACCTCATAGTCACTAACCAGTAAGGGCTTCTGATGAAACTGCGCAACAACTCCAGACCAGGGAAGGGGTGCGTAGGTGTGGTCCTATCTAAGGAAAGGGATGGTGGCCCGCTTGGTTCTACCAAATCACAGGCATCCTTCTGGCTTCTGCTTCTTCCCCTCACGAGAGGGGAGACATTACAATGGATATGCTTTGTTCTAAGCATTGTTCCCGACTTGGCCCCACCCACCTGCATAGCATTGCCATCTCTTCCCATTCTGTTTTGACCTTGTTTCTCATTGCTCTAAACTCAGAACCACTCTGTATCCTTTCCAAGTAGAAGTCACTCTTTCTACTTTCAAAATCTCTGCTTTGTCCCCTGATGTAGAGTTTAATATCTTCTAATGAAATCATCCACAGCCTTATTATCTCACCATGTATGAAAATCTCCCAGCCCAGGGCCTGACACATAGTACATGCCCAATAAGTGTTGCTTCCTTTCTACCCTAAGCAGTGGATCCCTTTTTGCTTTACAGTAAAACCCTCACATTTGTGAATTGTCATTGCAGGAGCCCCAGTAGGGAAATCACCTCTTTTCTGGCTGGGGCTCCAGAAATGTCAACCCAGAAGCTCTGAATTGCACCCATCTGCAGTCTTGCTGAATAACATTTTATTTCAGGTTTTTGTACAGTATCTGAGAAGCTTAACTTTTTTATAAAGCTGGCTACTTTTGAAGTCAGTGAAAAGGTAGAAACATCCAGCCTAACCCTAGACTGTCTGTTCTCATTCAGAGACACATTCCCAAACCAGCTGATAATTTGGGGCTGAACAGTTATCCTTGGCTCAAGGATGCCATGAAAATGCTCCCTCAACCCAGGGGAGAGAGGCAGGAAAAACAGGGTGAGCTCATTTAGTCCCTAACCTCCACTATTTTGTTCACAGTAGGAATGTAAACTCTATTTTGGAGCTTACATCAGCTTTTGGAGGGTTTTAACAAGCTCCCCCAGATAAAACTAAGGGTTATTTTTCTTTTCCTTTTGGTCAGAAATAAATATTTACGTCAAGAAAAGATTGCCAAGACTTGGAAAGTATTTGAATTATTTAATCAGCCCTATAAAAGGATTCACTGTGATTGGTGTTTGAATTGGCTAATGAATTTTAATCCTGGTTTTATCCCAAATCCATTAGACAGTTACCAACTACACTGAAGAATTATGGGAACTTCTTTACTAGTCTGAAAAGAATGACATGGATCCAAGGTCAAAACCTAAGAATGTACACATTTGACTGTATGGTTCTGGAACGTGGGTTCATTATAGCGGATCAAAGCCTGAACCTCCTCACAGGACTTTTCAACCCTGGTCCCTTCTCATGGGAGACATGCCTCCTACTCTTATCCCACTTTGCCCTTGGAGATTCTTGGACATTTGCCTCCAAAGTGGTCAGGTATAAATAGACTCAGCTCTAGGGTGCTTCAGGCTATGTCCTAAAACAAGCTGTGACATTATGACAATATAAAATGCTAACTAGTTTAAATTACATCTGTAAAAAAGAAAAAAAAACAACAACGCACAACTACCTGGGTTGACCATGGGCAAGCCGTTTCAACAAAACCTGAGTTTGAATTTGAGCTCTGACTCAATTAACTAACCTCTCAGAGGCTGTTACCCAAGTTGTAAATAGAAAATAATGAAACCACAGGTATATGGTGTTAGACAAAATCTGCATAGATATAGATATAGATACAGATATGAATATAGATATAGACATAATGTGTAGGTATAGATGTATGTGTGTATGGTGTGTATATATGTACATACACACATTCACTAAAACTTATTATTTTCCTAGGGATTTGTAACGCCTAAAAAGATGGTAGTTGATAGAACAAGTAATTAAGTAATTAGAGATTTTGAAAATTTTCATCTTTAATTCCCCTGATTTTAAAGCACACATTCACATAGGCTATTTTAAAGGTGTGGATGATCATGTAATAATGTGGAATGAGACTGACTGAATGTTTATTAAGTGCCAAGTAACGTGGTCTGCACTTGCATGCACTCTTACTTACTCCCCACACAGCCCTGTTCAATGATTCATGGTGACAGTTTACAGAAGAAGAGCTTGTTCCCAGTTACTCACTAGTAAAAAGACCTGGGATTTGAACCTGCGCCTGCTTGACTCTGAAGTGTACCCTGCCCTGTTCTGAGCCTTCTGTACTCATTCTCAGGGATGCCTAGCTCTCAAACTTAGGGTGCTTGTCAGTTTGGCATAATGACATTCATTGTTCCCCCAATTCCTTATTTAAATCAAGCTGTTTGATTACCAGACTCTTGTAGACAAATGCTTTAGATTAAACTGTCATGATTATGCACTAAATTCTGAATATCTTTGGTAAAAGGCAAAGAAACCTATATTTACACAGCATCTAAAAATTCCCTTAACTTCTGGTTTCAAACTCCTGCCCCTCCCTAATTTTCTCCCAATTGCACACAAGCCAAGTGGCTGGTCTTAGCTCCTGGTCCCCATTCCCCCTGCCCACTCAGTGCTAACGCACAGTGAAATAGCTGCCTGGTGGACAGAGGAGCTCAGGCCTCAGTCGTCCTCGGAGTAGATCGTGGCCCCATAAACATCACAACATCACTGGCGTTGGCAGAGGTGGCGGTGAGCTTGGCCTGGCACCTGAACCAAACATGGCCCTGCTGAGAAGGAAGGCTTTGTGCCTTGCTTCCCAAGTGGACGTTCCAGGAAGGAGTCAGATGATCTGCGTTATGGAAACCAAACGGCCCTCCTTTGTTTAGAGAGAGAGGGAAAAAAAGTCACTCATTTTTGTGGTAAAGTGAAAACAGGCTCCAAACCAAACAATCCCTCTCTGAGCAGAAAATGCCAGCTCCCCAGAGCAGGCCCACAGCCTCAGAAGCTGATAAACCAATGGAAGGCCCTGTCAAGCCTGTCCTATAGCCCCGGGCAAGTCCTCAGTCCTCCCAGCCAGATTTTCCTCTGCTTTGCTCCAGAAACATTTAGACTCCCAGGCAGGACAGGAACGTAAAAAGAGGGAGAAAGAGAAATGTCTACTTGACTAGGCTAATTTCGTCCTTTCTCTTCTTTCAGGTTGGGATGGAGGGAAGGGAGAGCTGCTGTGCAGAGAAAGCCCGGGAAATGAGGCGGGCACACACACAGCACGTGGGCATGCTGGGCCCTCGGGTGTCCCCGGCATGTCACTGCAGTGCACTGACTCAGAGGGAACTCCTCAGTGGGACCCAGCTTTCCCTGCAGAACGCAGCAGGGAGTCACGGGGCCTGCTGTGGCCGCTCTGTGGCTGCTCCATTGCTCTGTGGGCAGGCTCCACGCATAGCGATCTGCACTCCCAGGTATCACTAGTGCATATAAAGTAGGATAAGCCACGGCCCAAAGAAAACAAATATAGGTTCTAGTGAGCCACGCCTGTTCCGATGTCGGTTTATTCTCTAATACAAACCTTTCCTGGAATGGAGAGGCTTTTGGCAAGGAAAGAATAATGGAGAATTTAGTTCTAGTCCTGGCTTTGCCTCTGACTTGCTGTGCTACCATGGGTCACTGTTACCTCTGAGCCTCTATTTTGCATCTGGAAAATGAGCCTAATTAATCCTGTCTTAGTTCACAAGGTCATTGTGAGAAGGAGATAAAGCAGGGCTCTTACTTATCAAGAGATGGGAACCAGACTGACTAGATAGGGACCCAAGCTCCCCTTTGTAACATTGAGCAAGTTCCTTCATCTCTCTATGTCTGCTCCTTGCCTTTAACATGAAGGGGAATAATATTCTTCTGATAGCACTCTAGAAGGTTAAATTTGGTTATGTGATGTATGCGAAGCACTTAGAGAGCACCAACACACAGCCTGCCCCTAGGAGTATCACTATCATTATTGTTATCACAGATGAGAAAATGTCTTGAAAATAATAAGTCAGTTAAGGCATTGGGTGGCCCATCACTGTCATCGTAAGAGTCATAGTTTTACTCACCACACCCTCACTATTCCGGCAACATTCCATAATCTGCCAATGCTAATTCCAAATTGAGGGGAACCTGCAATAGCTTTCTGTTGATTTTTTTCTTTAGAAAAAAAATTACCCAAAGCCCTGTCATGGTCTACAAGGCGTGGTCACATCTGGTACTGCTGCCTTTTCTAGCCTCAGGCTGAGCCATTGTCTTACTCAAATTCTACTGCTTTGTTGGCCCTCTTTCAGCTCCCCAAAGATCCGGGCTCCTTCCTGCCCCCAGCAAGTTTTTTTCCAAAAACCTGCAACCTTCTTTTCATAGTTAACAGACCTAACCCCAAATCCCTCAGTCTAACTCAAATAATTTAGACCAAACTTCTTCCTCTACTGATCTTTTCAAATCCTACCTATGTCCTACCCTGGAACGTACTTTGGCTTGCTCTCTTTGCTCATGCCATTCCTCCCACCAAAAATGCGTCTTTCCCATCTCTGGACAGAAGCACAGCCCAGGTTTGGTGTCCTCTGTGACCTCACAATGTCATCTACCTAAAGGGAGTTCCCTTGTCTTCCAAAGCCAAGTGTGATTGTGGCTTAGTCGCTTCTTGTGTTTGTCAGCGAACTTTTTCCATGAATACGCTTTCCTCTCAAGTTAGACTTAGACCTGAAACTCCCTGAGGACCAGTATAATATTTTCTCATTTCTCCTCAGTTATGTCTGGTCTATGGTAAGAACTTAGTCTCTGTTTGCTCACTGATTGACTCAACTGGACATACAGAGTTGGGGAATAATATTCAGGCAGGGAACCTTGAACTTACTCTACTGAATTTTCCAGCTCAAGACAAGTCTCTATTTCAGAGAGTTATTGCTTTTCTAGTGCCCTGCAGAATTTGGCTCATGGTCTGTAGGAGTCACTGAATTTAAAGTTATAAATTTGCCTTGCTCCTCTTAATCCAGTGACTTCCTTTTTACAGATGAGAAGCCCTTTGCCGTGGAAGATACTTATTTGCTTTGCCCAGCACCAATCTTAAAAGAAGTTGGCATGTAAGTTTCCACCAGCAACTGAACCTGTGGAGGAGATAGAGGAAACAAAAAGAAAGAAGCATCTCTCTTCATTGTCATAATGGGGCCTTTCCCTAGACTCCTCCAAGGAATGATGATAAACAATATTTATAGTGAGCCAGGCACCAGAGTAAATGTTTTCCAAAGGGTACCTCACTTCAGGCTCCCAAGTTCCTGACAAGCAAGATCCTCACATCTTCCCAGTTCCACAGATGTGAAATCTGTGGCCGAGGGAATTTAAGCAGTTTGCCTAAGGTCACACAGCAGTAAATGGAAGAGTTTTGGCCCAAACCAAGGTCTGTCTTGCTTAATCACAGCTACATTCCCAGAAAGCTCTCACACTTCCTAAAGCACTCTCACACACATTACCTGGCCCTGTCATCATAATTGCCCTGACTGGGGATTATCGCCTCCTTAGAGATAAGGAAGTTCAGAAAGGCTAAGTAGGTCCACAGACGGTTCACGGCCCAGATGCAGACCATTGGAGGCTACACTCTGTGCCTCCACAGAGCACAAGGTGTTCATCCAGACGGCAGGAGGTTCCTGGAACTAACTTATGGGGAAAATGTCATGATGGTGCGATCATAATAAATGTTATGAAGGTGCTAGTAAATGTGATTTTAAAAAAATAGTCACCAGAAAGAAAAAAAGAGAGAGAGAGAGAGAATGAGCACCCTGAGCAGGGAAAGAAGTATGTGGGGAACCAAAGAAGCAATGTTTGTGAGAGAAGACAAACTAGCCTCTCAGTAAACATGTCTGTAACAGGCTGAAGACAGAATAGTGGCTTTAAGGAAAAAATGCTAAACTGGTTCATCTGACTTCTGTTTACAATCATTTGTTCAAATTCTAAGCCTCCAACTCTGGTTGCCTAACATCAACCTGTGATTCCACTGATTCCAATAACTACCCTGTACCCATCCTGCAAAATGCAAGCAAATGCAAGCCCATGTTTCAGTGAGTCTCATAGATGGGAGGAGATAGAAGGCAAATTCGTCCATCTGTTACTGCACACCTGTGAGTTTGCTGGGTAGTAACAAAGTTGCCCCCACCAGAATCAGATTGCTGAGAATCAAGATAATGACAACAAAGCATTAAGTTTATAGCTTGATCAGTTTAGTCCCACTAATTTGGACCCTTTTAAAAGAATCCTTCATCTTACTACAGTGTGACAAGTAAATTAAATGGAAGTAGGCTTTGCCCAGTCAGTGCAATTTGCTGCAGTGCAAGAAGGCCTGAATGTTCTGCCTTGGCATGCCAGCCAAGAGTATCCTGACATCTCCCTGGAACGTTAGAAGTGGAGGGTGTCCTAGAAACCATGCTCCACATTTTGCAAAGGAGACAGCTCAGGCCTCCAGGGTACAAGACTACAGTCTCAAGGGTAATCAATTGTGAGAAGAGCCTCGGCCCCAGGCACACCATGCTGAGTATCTCTGGTTCCCTTGTCTTTGCAGGAAAGCTGCACTTCAGGTCAGCATGAACGATGGCCTCTCTTTCATCTCCAGTTCTGTCATTATCACCACCACGCACTGTGTAAGTCATCACCTTTCCTTTTACCAAAGGCTTCATTGTCATTCCCATCTCCTTGGGAAGTTGTCTGCTTTGCATTCTGTTCACTGAACTTTCATCCCAGCACTGCTAGGCCAGTTGTGGACTGGGTGAAGGGTGTGCTGCACCCCGGAATATATTGGGGATGCCTGTGTTTGGCTTCTCCAGATGCCCCATTTCTGTGACTGCGGGTGAGACCTGAACCCACTGGCATGACCAGATGGCAAGATGGGCCAGTGTCTGTGCAACAGTGAGGGGGGACATCCACATGGAGTGGGTTTAGTAGAAAATGCACAGAAAGAAATTGGACAGCGTATACAGAAGGTTTGTCTGAGGGAGTTTTTCTCCAAAGGGAAGCAGGAAAATGGGCAGTAACTGAAGAAAGATGTATGAAGAGTATAAAGAAAGTCTTTTATTCAGAATGGGAGAGCTTGCAGCTCGTTTATATGGTTGTGGAAACAATCCAAGAGAAAATGGAAAACTGATGAAGCAGGGAAGTGGGGGAAGGGGCCCTATGCCATAGGGACTGGGAAGCAGCAGGAGGGACTGTGTCCTCCCCCACCAGCTCCTCAGATGCCCCTTCCCTGGATCCTGCTGTCAGGCAGTTTTCATTTCTGACTACACATAAAATCACCTGGAGAGCTTTTAAAAAATATTGATGTCTTGGCCTTATGCCAGACCAGTTGAAACAGACTCTGGGTTGGGCCCTAGATTGGTGGTTCCAAGACTGTGGCTGGACACACTTCGGCCTGTGTAGCTGCTCCCTCCCACTGTCAGTGTCTCAAGAGTTTGCCCATAGGAGGACTGTCAGGGCTTGGTTAGCTTGTACACAGACCTCAGCCCCTGACACAGGCATTTCCAAACGAATCTTTGTCTGGATATTCAGATTCTACAGGCAAATGCACTTTTTCCTTTAGATCATTCTAGAGACTTATGTGTTTGACCTAGTGGTCAGCTTAGGCAGATACTATGATCAATTCCTGTCTAGTCTTTGGAGGACATGTTTTTGGAGCCCGTCAGTAGTTGGGGTTTGTGTCCTTACCACCATTACAGGTGGAGGAGAGGGAGCAGGCAGCACTGAAGCCAGGTGAGATAAATGAGAGGCAGCCAGTCCTCCTGACACACATCCTCCCTCCCAATGCCTGCCTCTCCACCCGTCCCACACACTTTTCTTCCTGTATTTGGACCAGACCGTTTTCTTGAAAGCAGCATAAGCTGGTGCAATGGGAACAGGCAACAGAAAAGTTTTACTTGACCAAAGAGAGTAGGGTTATCACAAAGAAGAGTCTGAGAAATGTCTGCGTCTTAAGTATCTATCAGTGGAACATCAAATCTAGAGACCAAATATGTAAACTCTGCACAAGCAGTGAAATTTCTCCAAATGCACCCTGCCTGATTCTTTTAGAAATTGATCCTTTTGGAACCTGCCAACCTGCAGGAAGTGATTAAAATACCCCAAATCTAACAACTTCATTCCAGATTCCTCCCTGCTCTGAATGATCCAACAACTTGGGCCTGTATTTCTCATTTTGTCTGATCATACCAGAAAAAAGAGCCATGACCTTGAGGCCACAAGGGCAGAGAAATGAGAAGGGGAAATATCTCAGAACCAAACCTGTGGTATGGCAGAAACAGTACTACAAATTTAAGTCCTGGGCCTCTAAGCCAAAGAAAGGGTGTCCTCACTAATGTAACACCAAATGAAAGAATGTCCAGTAAAGTCCCTGCGTACCTTCGCTACTCACTCCAGCCTGCACTCACACCACCCATCTTCATCTGAGTGCCCGTCACGAAGTTTTCTGTTCAACTGACACATTGATCAACACTACCTCATAACATCTCCTTCATTATTCCCCTTTTTATCTGAGAATGCTGTTTGTCTACAACAAAGTTATAGCCACCCTAAGGTTTGAGATCCAGATCCATTCATTCATTTACTCAACAAATACTCATTGATTATGCACAGTGTTCTGGGCACTACCCTGGCTGCTTGGGTTACATCAGAGAATACAACAGACGGAAATCTCTGTCTAGTGGGGAGGGGGAGGGAAAAGAACATAGATAATAAACAAGAAACATAATAACTGAATTATATATTATGTTAAAATATAATATATTCCAAGAGGATTTGGTACTTCTTGAGTGAGTGTAATGTAAATAGAGATATATTGAGAAGATGGCATTTGAGTTGAGAGCTTGAAGTTGACTGGGAGGCTACAAGATGAAAAACATACCAAACAGAGAGCCCCAGTGCTTAGACCCTAAGACCAGACACCTGGTGTGTTTAAGGAAGAGCAAGACTAATGGTCAGTGACTGGGAGAGAGCAAGTGAGGAGAGCAGTGACAGTAAGGTCAAAGGGATGGAGAGTGGAGGGCCTTGTGAGAACTTTGGCTTTTGCACAAAAGCACAACATGATCAGATTTGTATTTGAAAAATCACTCTGGCTGCTGGATCAGCCTGTGGAAAGATGCAGGGAAACCCTAGTTAGGAGGGTTATGGCATTATTTTAGGCCAGAGATGATGGCAGCTTGACCCAGGAGGGAACAATGGAGAGGAAGGAAGTGGTCAGCATCAGGAATAATTTGAAGACAAAGCTAATGGATTTCCCAAAACACTGGATGTAGAGCTTGAGAAGAGAGAAATCAAGAATGGTCCCACGATGAATTTTACCAAGCATTCAAAGAAGAGCTAACCCCTCTCCTTCTCAACCTATTCCAGAAAATTCAAGAAGAGAAAAGACTTCCAAGTTCATTTTACAAGGCCAGCATTATCCTAATTCCGAAACCAGATAAAGACAATAGAAAAAAAAGAAAATTATAGGCCAGTATTTCTAAGGAACATAGATGCTAAAATCCTCAACAAAATATTAGCAAACCAGATCCAGCAATACATTAAAAATATTGTACACCACAATCAAGTGTGATTTATTCCATAGTTGCAAGGTTGGTACAGTATCCTCATATCAATAAATGTGATACACCACCTAAACAAAATGAAGAATAAAAATACAAGATCATATCAATAGATACAGAAAAGGCATTTGATAAAAATCCAGCACCTACTTATGATAAAAACTCTCAGCAAAGTGGAAATAGAGGTACCATACCTCAACATAATAAAGACCATGTATGGCAAAAATTAAAAAACATTTCCCTTTAGAACAGGAAAAAGACAGGAATGTCTGCTATCACCACTCTTTTTAAAAAAAAAATAATTTTATTTACTTTTAGAGAGAGGGGAAGGAAGGAAGAACGCAGAGAAACATCAATGTTTAATAAGAGATACATCTATCGGTTGCCTCACACACCCTCAACTGGAGGCCTGGCCTGCAGCCCAAGTATGTGATGCTCCCTAACTGGGAATCAAACCAGTGACCCTTTGGTTCACAGGCAGGCACTCAATCCACTGAGCCACATCAGCCACAGCTGATTTCAACCATTCTTATTCAACATAGTACTGGAAATTCTGGTTACAGCAACCAGACAAAAGAAGAAATGAAAGGCATCCAAATTGGAAAAGAAGAAGTAAAACTCATTATTCACAGATGACATGATACTGTATATAGAAAACCCTAAAGATTCCACCAAAAAACTACTGGAAGTGATGAATGAATTCAGTAAAGTAGCAGGATACAAAATTGATATTCAGAAATTGGTGGCATTTTTATACACCAATAACAAATTATCAGAAAGAGAAATTAAGAAAAGAATCCATTTACTATTGCAACAAAACACCTAAGGTACCTAGGAATAAATTTAACCAATGAGGTAAAAGATCTATACTAAGAAAATTAAAGGATACTGAAGGAAGAAATTGAAAAAGATACAAATAAGTGGAAGCATATACAATGTTCATGGATAGGAATAATTAACATCATTAAAATGTCCATACTACCCAAAGCGATTTATAGAGTCAATGCAATTCCTATTAAAATATCAATGGCATATCTCACGGATCTAGAACAAATATTTCAGAAATTTATATGGAACCACAAAAGACCTCAAATAGCCTCAACAATCTTGGAAAAAGAAGAACAAAGTTTGAGGTGTCACACTATCTGATATCAAATTATACTACAATGCCATATAATCAAAACAGCACAGTACTGGCATAAGAACAAGCATATAAATCAATGGAACAGAAGAGAGAGACCAGAAATAAACCCATGCCTTTATGGTCAGTTAATATGTGCTAAAGGAGGCAAAAACACAATGGGCTAAAGACAGTCTCTTCATAAATGGTGTTTGGAAAATTAGACAGATATATGCAAAATAATGAAACTAGACCACTAACTGACATCATATACAAGTATAAACTCAAAATGCATCACAGACTTAAATATAAGTTGCAAAAACATAAAAATCCTAGGAAAAAACATAGGCAATAAAATCTTGGACATTTCTTATAGCAATATTTTTTTCTGATACATCTCCTTGGACAAGGGAAACAAAGGAAAAAAAATAAACAAATAGGACAACATCAAACTAAAAAGTTTTGCACAGCAAAGGAAACCATCAACAAAGTGAAAAGACAGTGCATTGAATGGGAGGACATTTTCACCAATGATACATCTGATAAAGGATTAATATCCAAAATTTATAAGGAACTCAGACAACTCAACACCAAAACAGAAAACAACAACAACCAAAAAAGCAATTGGATTAAAAAAAATAGGTAAAGGATTTGAATAGACAGTTCTCCAAAGAGGACATACAGATGGATAATAGATATATGCAAAGATGCTCAATGTCACTAATCATCAGAGAAATGCAAATTAAAACCACAATGATATATTACCTTACATCTGTCAGAATGGCTATCACCAGTAAATTAACAAGCAACAAGTGTTAGCAACAATGTGGAGAAAAGGGAACCCTTGTGCACTGCTGGTGGGAATGCAGACTGGTACAGCCAGTATGGAGTAACCTAAAAAAATTAAAAAATAGAACTGCCTTTTGACTCAGCAATTCCACTTTTGGAAATT